GTGCGATCAAATCGCCAAAATAACATCATAAACATCGAATTAAACCTCAAAATCCATGAATTCTTTCAAACTTCATAAAACATCAAATTTTTCAATTTAGGTCCGAATCACGTCAAACGACATCCGTTTTCAACCAAATTTCACAGGAAGGACTTAAAACATATATAAGACCTGTACCGGGCGCCGAAACCAAAATATGGGCCCGATACCATCGCTTTCTAATCAGATTTCATTTCCAATTTCCTTAAACAATTTCAGAAAACCATTTTACTAAAAAATTCATTTCTCGGGATTGGGACCTCGGAATTCGATTCCGGGCATACGCCCACGTCCCATATTTTCCTACGGACCCCGGGACCGTCAAATCACGGGTCCGGGTCCGTTTACCCAAAACGTTGACCAAGGTCAAATTTATTCATTTTAACATCAAAACTTGGCATTTTTCACAGAATTTCATATTTAAGCTTTCCGGCTACGCGCCCGGGCTGCACACGCAAATCGAGGCAACTTTAAATGAGGTTTGCAAGGCCTCGGAGTCATAGAATTCGATTAAAAACAGGTGATAGACCCTTTGGGTCGTCACAACATGCATGCAAATGAGACTAAAAGAAATGTTTATTTATACATACAAGTAAGCTATATAGATTTTCTTGTTTTGTCCCTTAAACCTATTTGACCAACTCTCTTGCTCTACTCCCTCCCTTCCTGCAAATCTTATGCAAATGACCATGCATGTAAATTAAACTTAAAGAGTAGATTGTGAGGATTCCGGTATGGAATCAAGTTATATACACTGCAAGTATAAATTTTTTTGACACTACCAATATATTTTGTATTTTAATCAAACTATAGTAGTTTATTATTCTATCGTCTAGGCTAGCATATATATATCGGACTTGTAATTTTTATACTGAGTCGTATGAAATATATATATATATATATATATATATATATATATATATATTTTCTTTTTCAGGAATGAAAAGAACTTCATCTCATAAGCATTTGAAGAAATGATCATTTTGGTAGATGCATTGATGAACTCTATTAACTTAACTGAATTGGCAGATCTATGTTGTACTATGACTAGTGGTACTAGCTACTTAATTAGAGTAGTTTATTTTCCTCCTTAAAAAGCAACAAAGTCTCCTTCCTTTATATAGAGAAGAAAAGTAAACTTCTATTAACTCTTCATTTAAGAAAAAGTGTTAATTGTTATTTGTTGGTTACAAAATGTTATTAGTACGGTTCTTGTTCCAGTACTAGCATGATAAATAGGATAAATTTACCGATGTTAATTAAGAGTCCACTAAACTGTATATCAGTTCCCACATAACAAACACACACAACAGTATTTTACGTGAAAAACTCTCAGCTCAGGAGATTAAAAACTACGACCTATACTCGTAGGATATCAACTTGATTAACCGAGCAAACTTTAGATTACAACCTATTGTAGCCTAGGTCTTAAACTCTTAGTCCCTCACCTACTTGCAATAATTCTATTGCAAGCCTCTTTGTAATAAGTCTATTACAAAGCTCACCACTTTGACTAACTCTAGCCAAACACAAACACACAGTTTATGACAAGGGCGGTTCCATAAAATTAGTGGCGTAAAGCTAAATTTTAATAAGAGGCCTTGTGCTTTTTTATTTGTACGTATACATACATATATGCAAAAAAAATTAATCTTGCCATTTTTTTCATACTTGTTGTTTATAGTATATATTCTTAAATGACATAAGATCTTTAACTTCACGTAGTAATATTATTATTTATATTAGAAAAGGATAATTTAAATAAATGAGATGTTAGACATGTATTTGCAATATGGTAGCTTGATATTGTTGTAAAAAATATATTTACTAATATGAAGATTTAAGTAGTTTAATTCAAAGTTTTTATAATATTTTTACTGTTAAAGAGTAGATACATTTCTTTCTTGTTTACAATTTTTTTGTACTTTTTTATTTTTTCTACAAACATTAATATTGTCTAATTTAAAATAAAATGATAAAATTAATTATAAAAAATTTTGGAAGACCTAAATCAAGGCTTTACTAGTCTCATACTAGAGCCACTTATCCACCCCTAACATTCTCAATCAAATTTGTAGAGTCTCACTTAAGATAAGGCAACAATGACAAGAACATTAAAGATAGTGTGTCATTCAGTTACCAAATGTGAATGAAGTTGGTTGAACAGTACGTTCATGGTGGGACAGTAGCAAGGGCGGCTCTAAAAAATTAGTGGCTAAAGCCAAATTTTAATAAGAGGCCTTATACTTTTTTATTAGTACGTATACACACATATATGCAAAAAAATTAATCTTGCCATTTTTTTCATAGTTGTTGTTTATAGTATATATTATTAACTGACATAAAATCTTTAACTTCACATAGTAATATTATTATTTATATTAGAAA